TTTTTTTTTTAATGATCAATAAAATTGGAAAGTCTTCAGCTACGTTGACTAAGGAAAAAAGACACAAATACTAAAACCAGAAATTAAAGACTTATTTCAACTGTTACCACAGAAGCAAAAAAATTATGAGAGGCTACTATAAACTGCCTGCCAACAAACTGGATAACTTAGAAGAAATGGATAAATTCTTAGAACTCTACCAAGCATCTAAAAAGAATTAATGCCTGGATCTCTGGGTAGCTCAGTGGTTTAGCACCTGCCTTTGGCCCAGGGCGTGATCCTGGAGTCCTGGGATGAGTCCCTTGTCAGGTTCCCTGCAAGGAGCCTGCTTCTCCCTCCGCCAGTGTCCCTGCCCCGCCCCCGCCCTCTGTGTCTCTCATGAATAAATAAATAAAATCTTAAAAAAAAAATTTTTTTTAAAGAATTAATGCCAAACCTTGTCAAACTCTTCCAAAAAACTGAGAGAACATTTCCAAACTCATTTTATGAGGTGAGCATTATTCTCAAATCAAAGACAGACAAATATACTTAAAAACAAAAGTAAATCAGTATTTCTTATGAACACTGCTACAAAAATCCTCCACAAATATTAGCAAACTGAATTCAACAGCGGCACACTAAAATGATTACACATCATGACCAAGCGGGATTCACCCCTGGGATGGAAAGATAATTGAACATATAAATAATAAATGTAATACATATGTTGCCAAGATGAAGAAAATCACATGACCGTCTCCACTGATACAGAAAGGACTTGACAAAATTCAACACTTTTTTTTTTTTTAAGATTTTGTTGATTTATTTGAGAGAGCGACTGAGAGAGAGTAGGCACCCAGGAGTAGGGTACAGAGGCAAAGGCAGAGGGAGAAGCAGAATCCCCACTGAGCAGGGAGCCTGACATGGGGTTTGATCCCAGGACCCTGGGATAATGACCTGAGCTGAAGGCAGACGCTTATTAACTGAACCACCCACGTGCCCCCAACACTTTTTTAAAAGATTTATTTATTTGTGAAAAAAATAGAGAACACACCCACATGAGTGGGGAGAGGAGCAAGGGTAGAGAATCTTCAAGCAGACTCAAGCTCCATCTTACAACCCATGAGGATCATGACCTGAGCCAAAACCACAAATTAGACATTTAACTCACTGAGCCATTCGGGTGTCTCTCAACACCTGATTTTTTGTTGAAGTAAGCTTTAAACACGCAGCTTGGGGATCCCTGGGTGGCTCAGCAGTTTGGAGCCTGCCTTTGGCCCAGGGCGCAATCCTGGAGTCCCAGGATCGAGTCCCACATCGGGCTCCGGGCATGGAGCCTGCTTCTCCTTCCTCCTGTGTCTCTGCCTCTCTCTTTCTTTCTATCTATCATGAAGGAAGGAAGGAAGGAAGGAAGGAAGGAAGGAAGGAAGGAAGGAAGGAAGGAAGGAAGGAAGGAAGGAAGGAATCTTTGAAAAAAAAAAACATGCAGCTTGAACTCATAACCTTGAGATCAAAAGTCACGTGTTCTACCTACTAAGACAGCCAGGCACCTCACCCAACACTTCTTCCTGAGCAAAACACTCAGCAAACTAGGAATAGAAGGAAATTATCGAGACATAGAGGCCATATATGAAATACCATAACATGATATTCTACAGTAGAAACTGAAAGCTTTATCTCTAAGATCAGAAGACTAGGATGCCCGTTCTTCCCACTTCTATTTAACACAACACTGGAAGTCCAAACCAGATGAAGTAGGCAAGAATTAGAAACAAAAAGCATCCAAACTGGTAAGAAAAAAGTAAAATGGTCTGTGTTCACAGTTGACATGATCTTATATGTAGAAAACCTTAAAGCTTACACATACACGAAAAGCCAAGAATAAACAATTCCATAAAGCTGCAGTATACAAAAAAATCAACACTCAAAAATTAGTTGCATTTCTATACACTAATAAGGAACAAATTCAAAAAGAAAACTAAGAAAACAATCCCATTTACTATAGCATAAAAAAGAATAAAATACTTAGAGGAGTAAATGTAACCGAGGATATGAAAGAATTATGCATTGACAATTACAAACACTGTTGAAATTAAAGACAAGTACGTAGAAAGATAGCCCACATTCACGAATTAGAAGATTTAACATTATCAAAATGTTCATATTCCCAAGAGCAATCTTCAGATTCACTGTGATTCCTACCAAAATCCCAATACCATTTTTTACAGAAACAGGAAAAAAAAATTCTAAAATTCACATGGAATATTAATGGACTCCAAATAGCTAAAAATAATCTTAGGAAAGAATATATCCTTTCTTCGAAACATATTAGAAACGTACATTCCAATATGATATTGCCATAACAACAGACACACAGGTCAATGGAACATAATGGAGAATAGAAATAAACCCTCAGTGCATGGTCAAATGATCTTTGACCAGTATGCTAAAACTACACAATGGGGAAAAAGTACGGTCTCATCAATAAATGGTGCTAGGAAAAGTGTATATCCATATGCAAAAGAAAGATATCAGAATTAACTCCAAATGGATCAAAAATTTAAATCTAAGATCTGAAACTATAAAACTCCAGAAGAAAACAAAGGAGATTTGATTCATGACTAGAATGAGCAATGGTTTCTTTAATAGGATACCAAAAGTACAGATAACAAAAGCAAAAAATAGACAAATTGAACTGCATCAAACTTAAACTCTTCTGCACAGCAAGGGAAACAATACAGTAAAAAGACAACCTTCAAAATAAAAGAATCTGCAAACCATGTATTAAATAAAGGGAAATAAAGAAGGAAGGAAGGAAGGAAGGAAAGGAGGAAGGGAGGGAGGAAGAAATCCTACAACTCAGTAACAAAACAACCCAATTAAAAAATGGGCACAGAGGGATCCCTGGGTGGTGCAGCGGTTTGGCGCCTGCCTTTGGCCCAGGTTGCAATCCTGGAGACCCGGGATCGAATCCCACGTCGGGCTCCCGGTGCATGGAGCCTGCTTCTCTCTCTCTCTCTCTCTCTCTCTCTCTCTCTCTCTCTCTCTCTGTGACTATCATAAAAAAGGGGGGGGGGCAAAGGACTTGCAGCAACATTTCTTCAAGGAAGATGTATAAATGGCCAATAAGCATATGAAAAGATGCTCAACATCACTAATCATCAGGGGAAAGAAATGCAAATCAAAACCACAATGAGACATAACCTTACACCTGTTGGATGGCCGCTTAAATAAATAGCAAGTGCTGGTGAGGATATGAGGAAGTAGGATTTTAAAATGGTGCAGCCACTAAGGAAAACAGTACAGAGTTTCCTCAAAATACTAAAATTAGAATTATATGATCCATTCCAATTCTGGCATACATCTAAAATAACAGAGAGAAAAAAAATAATGAAAGAACTGAGAATGTGATCTCAAAGAGATATTTATTTGCACACCCATGTTCAATGTAGGCTTATTCCTAATCGTCAAGATACAGAAGCAACTTAAATGTCCAATCTTAAATGTCCACTGATAGATGAATAAAAAAAAAATATAGTATGAAAATTGAGCCTCAAGAAAGACAGAAATCATGTCATATGCTAGAACATGGATGAACCTTATAATAATAAGTATATAATAATAATTCAATCTCAAAAAGACAAATAGTACATGATTCCATTTACAGGAGGTATCTCAAGTAACGCAACTCATAAAAACAGAAAGAGAATAGTGGTTGCCAGGGGCTGGGGCAAGAAGTAAACAGAATTTTTGTTCAGTGAGTACAGTTTCAGACATGCAAGATGAAAAAGTTCTAGGGATCTGCTGTACACAAAATGTATACAGTAATATTATAATATATAGTTTAAACTTGTTTAGAAGGTAACTTTATGTATTTTTTACAATAAAAATAAAGCATTGCTACATGCTAATTAAAAGAACAAACATCAAAGTACCACATATTGTATGATTCCATTAACATGAAATGTATAAAACAGGCAAATCTACAGATTGGGGAGAAATGAAGGGAGATAAATAAAGAGTACTATGTTTCTTTCTGGAGTGATGCAAATATTCCGAAACTGATTGTGTTGACAACTGTACAAGTCTGTGAGTATACTAAAATCCACTGGAAGTATAAACTTTAAAATGATGCGTATTTCGTGGTATGTATTATATCTCAATAACGCTGTTAAAAAAATCTATGGTAAACAACTTTGAGAATCTTATGGTTAACGATAATCAGTTTTATTCTCAATAACTATACTGTATACTATTTATATCTTGAAAGACTTCTGTTTTACTTCTGCAGCTAAAGTAAGATAACGTGAAACTTCAATTTTTTGTTTTGCTCAAACCTCATTACAGAAGGGAAGTTAAAACATCTGAAGCCCTTTGAATAAGTACTACAGAACACCTTCTATTTCCCTAAAGCAAATGTCCCTTTTATCTACACAATTGGTGGACCTTCCTTAAATTGTGAAAAAGGAAGCCTAACATTCAATAAAATCTATTCACTTGTAAACTAATAACTAAAATTTTCAGCTCAGGGCCTCTCAATTACCTACAATGCCAGGTTAAGTCCCAAAAAATTCAAAGATTAAAAAGGTAGTGGGTTCCTTGGTGGCTCACTCAGCAAAGCTAATGACTGTATTTTGGCTCAGGTCATCATCTCAGGATTTTGAGATCAAGCCCCATACCGGGCTCCACACTGAATGTGGAGCCTGATTAAAGATTCTCTCTCTCTCTCCTTCTGCATCCCCCCCCCCCCAAAAAAGGCAGGAAATGAAGAACAGTAACAAAATGTTCTTGAAACTTACTAAAAGCAAAAGGGACAAAAAAAGAGAGAGCTTTTGGTAAAACAATTTCTGAAGGCATATGGAAAACTGGTCCTCAAAATTCAGACCCTGTATATAAAGTCCTTCCTTCACTTCAAGTGATAATTCTTTCCTCGCAATTTATACATAGTGCTTCCATCAAAATTTCAGAAGGGTAACATTATCACCACTTCTATAATCCTAATCATAGTCAGGAGTCCTTACCTGGTTCAGGGAGCTCAGGTTGGGGTGTCAAACTGGGAATTCCCGGCTCTTTTTCCATCTCTTCAACGCTGGCACTGGATTTATCACAAACATTCAACCGTGGTCCAATTGAATCTAAGCAGCTGGTATGATTTGGATCAGCCAGTGTATCTTCTATTATGTTTGTTGAAGTAGGGGGTCTATGCTCTGGGAACTCATCCCCCTTCTTTACAGGGTCAGATGGAAGCAAAATCCCAAAGGCACCCTCAGAGTTTTCTTTCTCCCTAAATCTGTTAGTGCGCTTACGAGGTTTAGTGCGCCTTTGGTTTAAACGCTGCCACCGCTTTTTAGGCACCGCTTGATTTACACCATTGGGTTCATCATTCTCACTGTTCATTTCATTATCCAACTCTGGGCCTTTTCTGTTTTCAAAAGAGGGGCCTTTCTCTGGAATTTTATCAGGGTCAGGCTGGTTGACTTTGTTATCAAAATGAACACTGGGAAAATGGGCACTGTCTTCACTTGTTAAATGGCCCATTAACTGAAGGGGTTCTTCTTTACCAGAGTCTTCTAGCCCACCTCTTGAGGAACCATTCTCTGAATCTCCACTTGCTCTGTCTCCCTGCAGGGCAGCCTCAAGAGTCACAGCTGGAAGTCGGCTGAGTTTTCTTTTGCGCTCTGTCTTTAAGGCTTTACGGTTCAATGTGTTCCTTCCCATCTGGGCTGCAAAACTATCTCGCAATTTAGATGATGGTTTTGAACGCCCACAGTTGCGCCTAGTAACACAGTCTGAATGACTTTTACTAGAAGCAGGGACATCTCTTCGGTCAGACACTAAGCCAGGTACAGGTACAGATAATTCTCCAGACAGTGCAGAGTCACCCCCACTAGGGCTAGGACGGACTGATTTCTGAGTGCCATCTCCATTTTTTTCTGAACTGTGAGTGGAACTTCCTGAAACCAAGACCTTAGATGCACCTACAGGACTACTCGAAGAACAGTCTCCAAGACCAGGACTCCGATACGAGACCAAATTTTGAGCAGTCATTAACCGTTGCTCCTTGGTCTTACTATCATGCATATCTTTCAACATCATTAGCAATGTACTGAATTTATAGTCTGGTTCAATAGGTATATGATTCTGACCAGAGGCAGAAGAAAAAAGTAATGGTTTTGACGGCTTTGATGTTCCCGAGTCACTCACATCTTCACTTAAGGATCTATAAGAGAGTTCCTTCAACTCTGACAGAACATGTTTCACCACTGCTGTTTCTATGTCATTTGAATCCCTGGTTTTCTCATGCATGTTGCTCAGTAGTTTTAGCCCATCCACTTTCCCACTTTTGGATATGCTGGCCAAAGGAGAGCCTTTGGTATCAGAAGAGCAGCATTTCAAACTGCAGTCCTCATTTGTAACTGGAGGTTCCACTACAACGGGATTTTCTTTATGTTTGCACTTTATACTTCGGATCTTGGGCTGTTTGCTTTTTGCATGTAACAGAGCTTGATTTGTAGCCCCACCTTTTATTAGTGAGTTCTCACTGGAAATGCTTGATGGTGTGTTGAATTTTGGAGAGAAACTATCATTTCTAAAATCTGACTGGGGTTTGCGAACAACAGCAGATACTTTAAGATCAGAGAGATTAACCTGAGATGTTTCAGTTCCAGGCTCTGCTGTCTTAGCACAATCCATTAAGTGGTCTGTATGTGAGTTAGTAATGAGGGACTTCTGCTTTGCTTTTACCTTAGTGTTTGTGGCAGGATACCTAGTATACTTTACCTTTTCATTTTTCTGAACAGATAACATGTTCTCTGTTCTATCAAAAGCATCTGTAATTTCAAGGACACTGTTATCAGACTCTGAACTGTGATCTATGGGATCCAGATCACTGCTTCCATCATCAGAGGTGGTACAGATACTAATGGAATCACTTCGCTTTTCTTCATCACCTGCTCCAATATAACAGAGCTGTACTTTTGAACTACACATCAAACCTCGTTGGAGTTTCTTCTTTTCCTCAGAATGTTTAGAGATCAAGGCACCCTCAGACAAGCCCAGTAAAGAGTCACAATTTGAAGTCTCAAATTCCTTCTTTGCTGTGTTTTTTCCACAAGAAGAAAATAGGAAACTTCCTGGGGCAGTGTTGGACCCTGTGAGGCTGTTTGCTATCCTGGAAAGTTCATTAGAGGCCTGCTTATCAGATACATCCCCAGAAATAAAGCTTAGGCCAAGGTTCTCTGGAATCTTTCCCCTTCGTTCTTCCTTATGTGCTTCAAATTGCATGTGGCCCTTTTTCATACTAGTCCTTTTGGGATTATCAGAACTCTTTCTGGCTCGAGACTTAGCACAAGGCTTTTCCTTTTCATCTGCAGAATGTTCAGAGTCAAAAGCCAGAGATTTCAAGCAGCCATTAAGTAATAGGTCATGTTCTGATTCAGGATCATTTGTACAATCCTCAAATGGCATATCCTCCTCACTGTCCAACTTGATTGAACTGCTGACACATCTTCGGTTCTTCGACCCTTTGGGAACATCATACTGTTCAGCAAGACCAACACTGGCTTCCCATTTACTCAAAATTTTCTGAGGAACCTTAAATTTAAAGGAGAAAAAGATTATCACTTATCAAAAAAATACAGAAGGGAAGAGGGAGGTTATCAGTAAATTCTCATACAAGAAGCTTTTCTAAGCCTTGTAAACTTCTTCAAGGTACTTTTAAGGTACTAGCCAAGTGCTTAGCACCCATTGATCACCTAGAGCCTAATCAATGGGGGATTCCTCAAATCTACTTCTAGTACTAAGATCTATCATTAGAGGAAAGATTAATCCCATACATCCTCTGCTCTCCCTTCTTTAGAAGGACAAAAGAGTGGATCACAACTAGGACTGCATTACTAATCAACATTACACTACCAAATAAAAGAATAATCAGACCCTTCCTATTTACCCCTCCACATTTTAAATAAGGATTTCTTTTCTTCCTGAAGAATGAAGACCAAGCACTTGGCTCAGTTGTATAAGAGAAAGCAAAAGGCTAAAGAAGATGAACAGAGCAAAATGAGGACAGCAAAATAAGGTCAGATCTATCCCAGGACCCTAAATTTGAACCTCTGGTTATCCCTAAGCCTCTTTATTTCTGGTGATGTATCTGATTGTTCTATACATGTTACATAAAATCTGGATTATAACCAAGCAGTCTCTGGGTTTAGTCACATTGTTCAGAAACAGTAAAATACCTTGGCTATTACATATACACCTTTCTTGATTCCTTACGATAGAGACACTATGCTCTGTGAAATATAACTATTTTTTCTAACTATTATTTCCCTCCTTGGCTTCATACAATAATTATTAGTCAAGGTTCTATTAGCTAACTATACTTTAAAGCTTGTAAAAGGGATAATCCACTGAGCATGTAAAAATTCAGGTCACTGGAAAGGTAGCCTCCTCTTATAAAGCAATGAGCTGACCAACTAGTTGATTTCACACACAAACACACACGCATTAATTCTCATAATTGTGACATGAGTAATTAACTTTCCAGAATCTGAAAGCCCTACTGAACTCCTCTGAAAAGGGGGTTGGTTAAGCTACGTAGCTCAAGGCTTGACACAAAAACTCAACAATTCCCTACTAACAACTATCCAAAGTATTGGAACTAATATAGTTTGCCTCCTTCATTGTAACAATAGCATATACTGGTTGTTTTATGGCATCAACAAGCTTATGACATATTAAATATTTATAATTATTTCTAATCCTCCCAACATCTCTAGTTTTAGAGATGAAGACACTAATCCTCAGAGAATTCAACTGAAAAACAGCAGGGACTGCATAATGACTCTAACTTATCTTAATAATGATTATCAAGTATTTATACAAGGAAGCATGAAACACCAATCTAATAGGAACTATTTTGCTTTCTAGAAATGACCACAAAGAAATATTTTTTTTAAAAAGCCAAAATTTTACCCAACTTTAACACAAAACATCAAGCAAATGGAACAAAAACACAGTATTCTTTATTAAAACATTACTGGGTTTCAAACTGCAACCTTAAGCAATAACAAGACATACAAAAACCAAAATTGTATTACCAGAAGGAGGATGGGTGATAGAAGTAAGAAAGATTAAGGAGTGCACTTGTCGGTGATGAGTACCAGATGATTAAAATGAAAACAAACCCCAGACAACAAAAATGTTGACAGCTTTACCTTTAGCATTTTTAAGAGAAATAATTAACCTGGAGAGTAAGAAGTAGAATATTTCAGCTCAATGATCATTTTTTTCATACAAAAGATATAACCAAAAAAAAAAAACCCTGGTCATATAATTTTATACTGTCACATCTAAGTGACATGGCAAAAATTATCTGAAATCATTTCTCAAAAAGCTGAGTATAAATCTATGGAAGGCTAGCCCTATTTCATCCAGGAAAAATAAATTGCTTTCATTTGTTTTCTCACAAATATTCTACTACCAAAGGAAATAACATATTTCAAAAATGTAAGCCTTCTTTCCTGCCTCCTCCCTGTCTATCCCAAAGAAAATAAAGAGTCTTTATTTACCTTGTGCCTATATCCTTTTTCTTTCTGCTTCCCTCTTCTCCTAAGAACAGGTAGCTCTTCAAATTGATGTCTGCCTTCGAACATGACGATTGCTTTTCCAGCCACCCAGGCTCTCTCTGAAGGGTCCCCAAAAGCCTCCACGTAGTATTGTCGATAGGGCCTCCGGTTTGAAACTAGATAAATATAAGAACCAGCATCATTACTTTAAAAAGAAGACTGTTTATCATCAAGAGAACAGCCATACCACTACTGCCAAAGAAATCTCTACTAAAAAAAAGGAGGAGGAGAAGGAGGAAGAGAAGAAGAAGAAATCAGAGGGGAAATTTTTAAATATTCTATTCATGTGGCAAGAAAATGCTTAAGAATCTGTGAAAGAACTTCAGTGGTTTGGTCTGGTGATATGCTATATATTCCAAGCCAGTTTTAACAATCAACTAAGTTGCTTTTATACTCAGTCTATAAAGTCTTGTACCCTTGTTACCAGAAAATACAAAGGGCATATAATAAGCCACAAAATCACAAATATAATTATCAGTAAGAACCAGCTACCAAACAAATTTTTTAAACTATGTTAAAATATAAGGAATGAAAAGAAATGCTTCAACACCTTGTTATGTATGATGTGCTAACATTTATGGAATGGCTACTACAGACCAGGTATTCACACTAAGTGCTTTGTATGGAGTCTTACTCTTCATAACAACCAACTAATTTGTAGTACACTCCTCCTTTTAGATACAGTTAGGTAGAATAACATCAGAGGGTGCAAATTCAGAGCGAAACATTGGCTTTTTTTTATATTTTTTTTTTATTCATTTATGATAGTCATAGAGAGAGAGAGGCGCAGAGACACAGGCAGAGGGAAAAGCAGACTCCATGCACCAGGAGCCTGATGTGGGATTCGATCCCGGGTCTCCAGGATCGCGCCCTGGGCCAAAGGCAGGCGCCAAACCGCTGCGCCACCCAGGGATCCCGAAACATTGGCTTTGCAGAGAAAGAACTTGATACTTCAAAATACAGAAATTTAAAAATAAAAAGAAAATTCCAAGAGCAATAAAAACAAAAAGAAATCGAGTTATTCTACAGTTTCTTAGTTGTCCAAAGTTCTAATAATACAATTAAGAAAAATAAAAACACACGTCTTGTCCAGAAAAAGATTATAATCAAATTTACATTTCGGCATTTTACATACCAATAAAAAATATAACAAAAGAAATATATCAGGACCAAGCAAAGTATAATAATTTGCCTCTTTTTAGAAAAGGGAATCATCTAATATAAAAATTCACTTATATAGGAACTCACAACTAATGCCCTTAACAACCATTTTTTTAAAACACGCAAAAAGAATCCAATTATCTTATCTTTTTGAATAAACAGAAAACTCTATTTCCTTCAGAATAGAAAAATAAAGGAGAAAGGAAAGGAAAACAAAAGAAAGGGGAGGGGAGATTTGTAAATTCAACATTAGAACAAGTATAAATACTTTAAAACTCAGGTCTCCACAGTAATTGGAAGAGCAGCCAAAATATCAAGTAAATTTCTTTTTTTTCTTTTTTTTAAATTTTTTTTAAAATTTTTTATTTATTTATGATATAGAGAGAGAGGCAGAGGGAGAAGCAGGCTCCATGCACCCAGAGCCCGATGTGGGATTTGATCCTGGGTCTCCAGGATCGCACCCTGGGCCAAAGGCAGGCGCCAAACCGCTGCGCCACCCAGGGATCCCCTATCAAGTAAATTTCAATGGCAACTTCTTTTTTTTCTTTTTTGTCGTTTCTTTTTTTTTTTTTAATTTATTTTTTATTGGTGTTCAATTTGTCAATCCATCAAGTGCTCCCCTCAGTGCCCGTCACCCAGTCACTCCCACCCCCCGCCCACCTCCCTTTCTACCACCCCTTGTTCATTTCCCAGAGTTAGGAGTCTCTCATGTACCATCTCCCTTTCTGATATTTCCCACTCATTTTTTCTCCTTTCCCCTTTATTCCTTTTCACTATTTTTTATATTCCCCAAATGAATGAGACCATATAATGTTTGTCCTTCTCCAATAGACTTATTTCGCTCAGCATAATACCCTCCAGCAGTTCCATCCACATCAAAGCAAATGGTGGGTATTTGTCGTTTCTAATGGCTGAGTAATATTCCATTGTATAATTAGACCACGTCTTCTTTATCTCAATGGCAACTTCTTTACAAACGCTAGTTTCAAAGCTATACAAACAAAGAATAAAGAGTACCCATGAGCTCTCATAAACTTTAGTTGAAAGGGTTGTTTTTCTATAAAAATATAGGTTAATGATAAAATTACAAACTGGTTAAATTTTGACTTTTAGTGCATTTCAAAAACAAGTTCTATGAAAGAACTGAACTCCCTAGTCTCAATCTACTAAATTAAATCCTTCCATAGAAATCACCTAAAGGGGGATTAAAATTGGTAAAATATATATATATATCTATAGAAGTTCAGAAAGTCAACTTGAGAAGTACATAATTCTCCCATAAATAAATTCAATCAGCACAGACGGAACACTTACAATGTGCCAGCACTATAAACAGGACAAAAAAACTCACTGCCTGGTAGGCAAGAGGTATACAAATAAATTATGGTAAAAAAAATAAATAAATAATTGCAATAAACATTCACTTTTTATTTTTTTTAAACATTTACTTATTTAAGAGAGCAGAGCAAGAGAGTGGAGAGGGTGGGGGAGAGGGAGAGAGAATTTTTTAAGTAGACTCCTTACTGAGCATGGAGCCCAACAGGGGGCTCAATCTCACAACCTAGAGCCAAAACCAAGAGCAGGCTGCTTAACTAAACATATACTTTTAAAAAGAACATTAAAAAGTGGAGATATTGGGGGGACCCAGATGGCTCAGTCACTTAAGTGGCCGTCTCTTGATTTTGGCCCAGATTATGTTCTCAGGGTCTTGTGATCGAGCCACATGTGTGGCTCCGAGCTCAGTGCAGAGTCAGCTGGAAGATTCTCTCTCCCTCTGCCCCTCCCCGACTCATGTGTGTGCTCTTGCTCTCTCCAATCAATCACTTTTTTTTTTTAAGTGGGGATCATTAATTAGAGAACTTGGATACCTAAGCACAATTTTTAAAAGTAAATAGTTTGTTAAGGAGAGAATTCCAGTATGAGGGTCCAGAATCTTCAAAAGCTGTTTGAGTAAACAAACAGTTGGGAACTAAAAAGTAGTTCAGGGATCCCTGGGTGGCTCAGCAGTTTAGCGCCTGCCTTCGGCCCAGGGCATAATCCTGGAGTCTCAGGATCGAGTCCCACATCAGTTGTTGGCCTCGCCACGTATCCATGTCTGTGACCGGGTTCCAGCCACGCAAAGAAATAACTTTCGGACGGATGGATCACATGTCCTATCTCAAGACTAGCTTTTTAGGGCTCACTGCTTTATTCAGAAATATTTCACTGTAGCTCCTTGATGCGGGATTCAAGACTAAAGAAATTCACATGTAAAAATGCAAACGCATATTGGTTCATCAAAGTAACCTTTTATGTAAATATATAGAGAAGTTCGGGCATTGACATGTAAACTGTACAACTACTACACTTCTCTGCAGTGTGGGTTTACCATCGTGTAATACATGTGTTTACATAAAAATAAAAAAAAAAACTGCATGGAGTCTGCTTCTCCCTCTGCCTGTGTCTCTGCCTCTCTCTCTCTCTGTGTGTCTCTCATGAATAAATAAATAAAATCTTTCAAAAAGAAAAAAAAAAAGAAAGAAAGAAAAAAAGTAGTGCAGAACACTAACTCAATAAAAACCAGTAAGCAGGTAAGCAGTGTTCAGACCTGGAAGAGCTTGATGCCATGTTAAGAGCCTATTACGCTCTTGGCATTGAGGAGCCTCATTTAAACTATGGAACCACATGCTCAGTTTGGGGTCTTAGAAAGATAAATCTCCTTGACCTCAGAATAACACATTCAAGAGCAGAGAGGAGACTCAGAAAACCAGAGATTACCAAAATAGTGTACATCTGAGATGACTAGAACCTGAACTAAGGCAGTAACACTAACAATTAAAAAAACAAAATTTGAAAGGTTTTTTTTTTTTTTTTAAGACAAAACACAAGTACTTCACATGTAATAAAAAGTCAGACAGGCACCTGCCTGGCTCAGGCAGAAGAGCAAGCATCTTGATCTTGGCTGGGGTAGTGAGTTTAGGCCCCAAGTTGTGTATAAATATTACTTAAATAAAAATACAATTAAGAAAAAAGTCAGAACAGATATTTGAACAGTTTTATTCACAAGAGTATGTTCATAGCAATATTATTCCCACCACGTTAAAAACGTGGAAATAACCCAAATGTCCACTGAAGGGTGAACAAAATGTGGTATATACATACAATGGAATATTACTGAGCCTTGAAAATGAAATACTGATACATAATATCACACGGATAAACTTTATAAAGACATTATGCAAAGTGAAATAAACCAGACACATAAAAATACTGTATAATTCCATTTATAGAGGTAACTAGAATAGTCAAATTCATAAAGAAAAAAAGAATAGTACTGACCAGAGGCGAAGTTATTATTAAATGGGTATGGATGTTCATTGTAAAAATATGAAAATGTTCTAGATATGTATGCTAGTAATAATTGTACAACAATGTGGATGTACTTAATGCCACTAAACTGTACACATAAGAATGGTTAAAATGGGAGATGTCTGAGAGGCTCAGTGGTTGAGCATCTGCCTTTGGCTCAGGTGGTGATCCTGGGGTCCTGGGATGGGGTCCTGCATCAGGCTCCCCACAGGAAGCCTACTTCTCCTCTGCCTCTCTCTGTGTGTCTCTCATGAATAAATAAATAAAATCTTTTTTTAAAAATGGTTAAAGGGGATCCCTGGGTGGCTCAGCAGTTTAGCGCCTGCCTTTGGCCCAAGGCGTAATCCTGGAGTCCCGGGATCAAGTCCCACATCGGACTCCCTGCATGGAGCCAGGTACTCTCTCTGCCTGTGTCTCTGCGTGTCTCTGTCTCTCTCTCTCTCTCTCTCATGAATAAATAAAACCTAAAAAATAAAATCAAGATGGATTGGGAATGAGGAGGGAGCCACCCTATAAGAAAATTAAAGATTGATAAACTCCACACATTCAGGAGCATCCATTTGCTCTTTAACCCAGAAAAGAGATCTAAGGAAAGGCTCAAACATAA